CCTCGCGGCCACCCCCCGGCACCTCCGCCGTTTGCAAGGCGGTTGCAGCAGCACCTCTGAATTCCCTAAAATTCCATATGATCGTTTATGCACCGTACTGTTAAAAACATCAAAATTCAAACTCTTGTCTTCTTCCAGGTAGCTTTGAAACTGGCCCAGATGGCCAGGCTTTTTCGGAGGGAAAGGAGCAGTTCCCCGGTGAAAGTGGTGGAGACTCTCGGGACACCTGCACAGCTCTGGAGCAAGAGGTAGAGAACAATCATCTTTTCTGGAACATATTTCATAGAGAGGTGAAAGAGTCATGCTTTTAGCACCTAGTAAGACAGCTTGCTCTGAACCACAGGCCTCCTGCACCCTGAGGGGTCAGAGCAGTTGTCACACCACGCTGGTTTGTCCCAAAGTGGCACCTCAGCAGTTCTGGTCTTTTATTGTTCTGCTCTGACTACGTAGATTTAGCCTGCACAAAACCAAGTTTTGCTCTTAGCAGGCATTCCCAAAGCTCACTGTGATATATTTTCTTGGAGTCATTCTGTTTCCCAGTGTTTTCCTCCCTGAGGGAACCATCCATGGTATTTGGGGTGACAGTGCAGTCACAGTAATTGTCATTTCAGCTCTTCATAACGTTCCCTGAGCCCTTTCTTGGGGTTGGTTTGTTCCCTCGCAGTTGCACATCCTGCCCACAACTCGTACTCGTGTTGATGTGCAGCAGGAAGTTCCTCCTCTGAAGCAATCATGGAGTGAGGGTTTGATGCTATTTTAAGTAGGGTTTCTCAGGCAGCCAAATTGAGTGAAAGAGGTTGGTTTTATTTCAGCTGACCGTTTATCAGTTGAGCTGGCAGTAGAACCCTGTAAAAACCAGCACACAACTCAAGAATTTCCAGCTGCTAAGAGAGATTCATATAGAACCACATCAATGTGAAAGCCAGAAGAGTTTACAGGAGGTGTACTTTTTTGAACAGGAAACAGTTTGAGCTTCCATTATTAATGCATGAGAGTGTCAAAGGAAAAAAAAAGAGTAAAAAATTGCTCATTACAGTAGAAAACTTGCTGATCCAGAGAGGCAGAATCTGCCTCACAATCGAAAAGTGAAAATACAATGAGTAATCCCACCCTGAAGAGGAGCAGCATCCGTTGCCTTCCAGAAAAAGGTGTGATGTTGATGATAATTAAGAGCTTTCTTCTTCAGCCCTGTTCAGCCACATCTGGGGGTTCAGATTGGTTTGTTCTGGAGATGGTTTTGCCCAGTGCACCAGGTTGGTAGCAGAAAGGATGGGAAATAAAAATACAAAAGAGCTCTGAGAATCTTTGAGAGGGAATTCCCTGTAGGCAGAGACCAAGAGCAAGTGAGAATATAAAAAATGGGATGAGAAGTGGTCTGCAAGACGCACAAATAGAGGTATTTAGAGCTACAAATAGACACCTTTTGTGATATTTCAGGAGAAAATACATCCAGCATGTAACACTGGCTCTTAATAGTGGCAAAAAATGCAATTCAGAAAAAGTTCAACATAGTTTTATTCAGGTAACAGGTTAAAGGGGAAGAGATGGAAAAAATATTATTGATAGGAGGTCCTCATGACTGGGAACAAACATCTTCACATGTTCACTGTGTACAGGGGTGAAGGTGGCAGTGAATTAACACCAGCCTTCTGTGATTTCAGATGAGGAAGTTTTGCTGTTAAACCAGTTTGGTCACAGGGGGCTCCAACAGAAAACTGCACCAGGACAACATCACAGCCCACAGGCTCGAGTTCTGCTTGACATGGCCATGTTCTACTAGCCCTGCCATGACGGCATTTTTCCCCAGTGTTCCCAACTGGATTCAAGATGCAAAGCAGGAGGAGGAAGAGACAGGCTGGAAATTAGTCCCCAGACCAAGAGGTGAAGAAACCGACAGTCAGGGAAAATGCCAGTGTGAACTATCAGAGCCCTCCTTCCCCCACGTGGACAAGCTGAGAACTCACACGCTTTCCCACTCGGAGCAGAGGCCCTACAACTGCCCCCAGCTGCACTGTGGCAAGGCCTTTGCCTCCAAGTACAAGCTCTACAGGTAGGTATCTGCAAGGTTCTCTGCCCAGCAGTGCCAGGAGAGAGGGGAAACCCCCTCCCTCGGGTGTCTTTGCTTGAATTTCTGAGAAGCTGGAGGAGGGGAAATGCCCTTTTACCTTGCAAAGCAGTTGAGTCCCAGACATTACCATACTTGGCATCTCTTTAGGTGCCTTCCAGAGAACTTCAGCTAATGCTGTATCCTGAGCTCAAGCTGCTTTATGTTTCACTGAGGAGGAAATAGAAACAGAAAGTGAAGTACACAGATTAAAAAACAAATTGAAAAGCAAGAATAGCGTTTGTATTCATAAATCCTGCTTCTAACCACAGGGATAATTCTGTGGCAGCTGTTGCTCCAGTATGGAGAAGTAGAGTTTCCATTTATGTAGAGAAGTACAAGACAAAATAGTTAAACAGTGATGGCTGAGAACTTGAAACCAAGTGAACCACAGTGGGGTAGAGTGTGAGATACCAAGGTGAAATCAAACCACAGTGGCTCTCAGCAGGCTTGGGCACAGCCTGACCCTCCTGGTGAAGTGATGTTTTCTCACCTAGTGTCACAAACTAGAGAGGTTTTCTTTGGCAGCCTCAGCAGAGAGCAGGAGCTGAGGAGAGACAGCTGCTGGGACAGACTGCAGGTTTTGCTTGAAGCATTGTGCTCCTGTGCTCCTTGTTTAATGGAGGTAAAATGCCATCTGGGATTTCTGTGGCATGAAGTGTAGGACACAAGGTAGGACAGCTTGTGTTCCCTCAGGGGCTGGATATTTGTCTGACCTTTCCCTCTTCTCTCCCCTAAGGCATATGGCCACGCACTCTGCTCAGAAGCCCCACCAGTGCATGTACTGCGAGAAGATGTTCCACAGGAAGGATCACCTCCGGAACCACCTGCAGACCCACGACCCCAACAAGGAGGCCCTGCACTGTCCCGAGTGCGGCAAGAACTACAACACCAAACTGGGCTTCAGGCGACACCTGGCCATGCACGCGGCTGCCAGCGGCGACCTCAGCTGCAAGGTGTGCCTGCAGACCTTCGAGAGCACGCAGGTCCTGCTGGAGCACCTCAAAGCCCATTCCAGGCGCGCGTCCGGCGGGGCCAAGGAGAAGAAGCACCCGTGTGACCACTGCGACCGGCGCTTCTACACCCGCAAGGACGTGCGCAGGCACCTGGTGGTGCACACGGGGCGCAAGGACTTCCTGTGCCAGTACTGTGCTCAGAGGTTTGGGAGGAAAGACCACCTGACCAGGCACATGAAGAAAAGCCACTCCCAGGAACTGCTGAAGATTAAGACGGAGCCGGTGGACATGTTGGGTCTGCTCAGCTGCAGCTCCTCTGTGGCAGTGAAGGAAGAGCTGAGTCCTGTCCTGTGTATGGCATCCAGAGACATGATGGGTGGTAAGAGCTTCCCTGGCATGCTGCCCGTGGGCATGTACAGCACACATCTCCAAACCATGCCAAGCTCAGGGATGCCCCATTCTTTGGTTCCTAATTCTCTTCCAATGGGAATGAGCTATCCTCTGGAGTCTTCTTCTCCCATCTCCTCCCCACCGCAACCTCCTCCAAAGTATCAGCTTGGATCTACCTCATATTTGCCTGAGAAACTACCCAAAGTAGAGGTGGACAGCTTTTTGTCAGACTTCCCTGGCAGCCTGTCTCTCTCATCTGGTGATCCTCAGTCCTCTTCGCCTCAGCCACCCGCCCTGGATGAGGCTTTGCTTTCCAAGAGCCCTGCTAACCTCTCAGAGGCTCTCTGTGCTGCTAACATGGACTTTTCTCATCTTCTTGGCTTCCTTCCCCTAAACCTTCCTCCTTGCAATCCACCTGTCTCGTCGGGGGGATTGGTCATGGGCTACTCGCAGGGGGAGGCGCAGCCACTGCTCACCACTTTGCAACATCAACCTCAAGAGTCTCCCGGAGCCGGGGCCTCGCTGAACTTTGGGCCCCTTCACTCGTTGCCCCCCGTCTTCACCTCCAGCTTGAGCACAACCACGCTGCCACGGTTCCACCAGGCCTTCCAATAAGCTGGAAATAGCACTGGAGAACAGATCTTTCAGCCACCCTTTTGTGGAGAGCCTTAAAAGCGCACAACTCTTCCTTCCTTGGGGGTGTGAAAGCTCTGGCAGAGCTGGGTCAGACAGGAGGTTTCTGATCTCGGAGGGAGCACTTGTAGACTGGAACCCGTGCAAGTCCCAGTCCTGTACAGCAGAAAGATTTCAGCTGATAGACTGGATATATTTTATCTAATTTTTAATCTGTGAATCAGGAGCCGCGCTTAGCACTGACCTTCCCTGAGAATGCTGGAGCTGTATTCCTCTCTGGGAAGGGACTGTCCCTCAGAAGGAGCTGAGACTTTTTCATCCTGGGCTAAACTTTTGAAGAGTCCAGCTTCCATTTCATGTTACCACACTGCAATTCTGGCAAATCAGCCAACACCTCCACATGGAGAAGAAGTCATGATACCACTCTGTATGAAGCCAATGGGGAAGAGCTGTCCTTCCCTGCTACCTCTCATCCCATCACCCAACACAGCTTACTCCACATCAGTGTTAAGCAACAAGCCCGTTTACATAGTGAATTCAACGCCGCCTCTTTGGAGCTGTTAGGATAAACTCGTTATGGTGAACATTGTTTACACAACACAAATCTGTTTCTGCCATTGCAAAAAATAGGAGGCACCAGAATACACTGGGTTCATCTCTGGTGTAGCTAGAACACTGTTTACACAACGAAGTCAGGTTGCACTGATTTCTCTTCACTTATCATGTTCTTCCCCCATGGGGAAATCCACTGCTTTTGGACCACTTCAGCCTCTGCCCCTGTAGGCAGCAGCTTCCTGCCTTTTCTGGCTGGCTGTCCCGAGTGAAGGGGATGGAGCAGCTCCCACAGCTCAGCTTGGTGTGTGGTGTATGGACAGAGCCCTTTGAAATCTCTCCCCCAGGCAAACAGATCTGGAAACCAAAGCACGTGAGAGGGCTGGGTGAGGAGCTCGGGCCATCGAGCGCTGGCAGAGCAGGCGTGGGTGAGAACAGGCTGCAGGCCCTGCTCCACACCTTCCCTTGGGATGAGGAACAGAGTATGAGGTTCTGGGGTTTGGGGTTTTTTAACCACTCATTGAAGTCAGCACCCTTTTTGGCTTGTCCAGGAAGGAATCTCAAAGGTGTATTTTAACCTCAATGGTGATAACATGCAAGAATCAGGGAAAAATTGGTCCCAGCTTCATGTACACACTGTCAGTGTATTTGAAGCATTTCTCCCAACACCAGTAGTTCTAACAAATGCTGAGGTTTGGGGCCTGCAGTCAAGTTTTCACTTAGGATTTGGTTCCACTGGCCTTTTTTGTTGTCTCCTGCTCAAGCCTTGCCTCCTGAAGTTAAAGTCCTGCTTCCCTTGCTCCCTGCCCTACCTCTTCAACTCTTCCATGGGCTGTCTACCTACCAGGGCAGGAGGGTTGTACTGGGAAGAGGCAGCCAGCTGCTGGTGTCACTTAGCACCTGTATTGTCTCCTGCTCCTGATTTCCTGGGCACTTCTGCTGCAGATGGGGACATATGGAGGTCACTCTGCACTGGTGCATGTTTGTGACCATGGATGGGCAGATCTTCATACCTCAGCATGGAGGAACCATTGTAGGCCAATATATAAACCAGGAAATCTGTCAATATTGTTCTCCATAAATCTAGGAAATGCAAAATCTACCTCTACTCTGTTATCTCAGCTCCTTGGGTGAAGCCAGATGCTGTCCTCCCCGTGTCCCCAGAGCACATCCACCTCAGTTGATGCAGATTCCTTCCTGCTGAGCCATGATCCCACTGTGTGACATCAGCTGTGCCTCTTTTGGTCACAGGCTTGTCCCCCTTCCATTTTACTCCAGAATTTTCTTTTTAATTTAGCTTAGTAATTCTTCCCAGAATGACTCTTTAGCAATCCATTGATTCTCCAGAACATAGATCGGTTGTTTTAGGTTAGCCAGCAATGCTGCAAATGAGACTTTTGTATCAAAATGTAATATAAGATTTATTTACCTCAGCAATATCCTGTGGCAATGATCTCCCCGAGTTGAATGCAGTACTTTTTCCTTTTCTCCACTGGAAAATGTTGCCTTTCCAAGTCCAACGAGTGCCTTCTTGTTCTCTAATCTAGCAAAGGTAAACAGGGCATTGCAGCCAGTCTGTTTACCAGCATTGAATACCTCAGGCCTGTCTTCTATTGCTTTGCTCTTTGCAAATTAAAGAGTTTCACACTGTTATCAATTATATGCAAGCCTTATCCCTGTCTTCAGTTGAGAGGATTATTATATTTTGAGTAATAAATGGTCAGAACTGATCACTCACTGGCAGTGAGGATTATCAGATTTATGCAATGCCATCACACACCTTCTCCCACTGCAGAACATTCAGCTTTTTTGCTTCCTGCCTGCATTGTACTCTGAACAGATGTCATCACTGGAATTCCTTTAGCAGTGGTAGCTAAACTTAGAGCCAGGCATCTTTTTCCTACCAGTAGTCTGTCAAAGAATAAATGGAATTCATTTTGCTATGATTTGCACGTGTGATTTGCTTTCCACAGCTACTGTAACAAGCACAACTGCAGTAACTTTTGTCAATGCAAGGAAAATCAACCCCAGCAAGGGCAGCGTGGTCAGAGACAGCATTGGAGCTGATTCCAGGTGTTTGCACAGGAAAATGGATTCCAAGTTCCTCTACCACAGCAGCTTGTAATCTGTATTTTACCAGTCAGTCTAAAACTAATGAGAATAATTCCATTTGAAACAGCAAGTATGCAATTCACAGAACAAATTACAGTGAACAACTTTGACCTGTTTATAAGAAAATACTTGGAGCATCCAAGCTTACAGCACTTGGGAATCCCAGTCCACGAGGACATGTGTACCAAGCTCTTAGGCAAGGCAGTGGAACTCATCTTGGCCAAGCTGCTGCTGCTGCAGCTGGAGGTGAGGGACAGGGGTAACTCTGGCTTGCTGTGAGGGGATTGCTGCAGCACAGCCTGCAGTCTGTTCTGTGGTGTGTGTGCAGGGCTTTGTGGCAGCACTATGCTGGTTATGTGATATAAAAAATCATCCCAGAAAGAGTTTGGGTTTGGTTTTTGTTTTAGACCACAAGTTTGGGGCTGCAGGTCTAGGACATGGCTGTGAGTCAGGCAGGCAAAGCACAGGAAACCTTTCCACTGTGATCCCTCTGTTCCTGGCACACCTGTACCACAAAGAATGCACCAGAGCCCAGGGACAGCAAGTACAGCATGTAATTGTTCAGGAGGGTTTAATTAAATAAAGGAATGTTTTCAACTGGCTGGCTTGGGGAGGGTCCAAAGCAGTGGGAACACAGCTAAGATATAAACCCATAGACCTCCAGTTAGTGAAAGGACAGGACATGAACTTGCCAGCCCTTATAAATCTGACTCTGGATTCTCAGAAAGCCAAGGAACCCCTAGAAATAAGAACTAACAAAGAGCCAAGCCACTCCCTGGCAGCAGAGGGTTAACTCTTGCCCATCCTTCCAGGCTCAGATCACCAGAACCCTGTGAAGGGCTGAAGATCTTTTTTCCCCCTGGGATTACACCTCACTCAAAATCCATTTGTAGGAAGGAACAACATGTTATCTTGCATTTGCTTCCACTGAATTTCACATGATGGAATACTCACACACCATGTTGTGACAGACCCCGTTCTCTGTCTCACAACATTGCTGCTCTTTAGCCTCAGTGTTGAAAAATGGTGTCACTTCAACTGGAATCCTTTTTTCACCTCTGGTAGATTGATGATTTCAGTACTTTTGTTGAGCTCAGCTCTTTGTTCTTTAATTCCTTCCTTGCTGACAGGTGAACAGCAGCTGCTGGGAAGATTTCCTGCAGTTCACTGAAAAAATCCCTTTTCCTTTCTCTACCATTGCACCACCTTTGCTCTCTGGACAGAACAACCCCACAGAGGCATTTTCTGCTGCCTGCAATTAAAATTTCCACAAATAAATCTTCAAAGATGTGCTTCCCATCACCCTACCTTCTTTCTTATCCTCTAATCCCAGTTAGTCAGGCTGCCTGAATTCTCCCTCAGGTGCCTATTTTTAGTTAATTGCCTGCCCAAGCCCTGGAGCTATTCTGCCACTGAACAGTGAAGTGGATGAATAGCTCAAACAGAACCACTTCAGCTTTCCATCCTCATCCAAAATTTGTGTCTTTTCCATAACTTCTGGTATTTTTCCCAGTTCCTAGAGATGAGAGCTGCCACCTGAAGCTGTGAATCCCCTCCTGGCTGACCCCTGTGCAGTAGGAGAAGGTGGTTTGGTTTAGCCTGGTCTGCTGAAGCCCAGATTCTTTCACCCCAATCCCCAGCTCTGGCACCTCTCACCCTTTCCATGCCTGTTGACCATAACATGCCACAGCCATGCTGAGCCTCTCCTAGAAAGCAGCTGGAAGCTGCCAGGGAGATGCCATCACCACTGATCCAGATTTGCAGGACCACAACAGACCTCTCAGCATCTGTTGTCCCTGCTGCACAACCCATGCACACTCAGACTCACCTCTGGCTATTCCCAGTGATGGACTTGCTTCCTTCTAGTGAATAACTGGGATCCCCCAGGAATCCTTCACCTTTCAGCTGTTCTTGTGGCTGCAGGTAAGGAGTTTTCTCCTGGGGTACAGTCTGCAATCTCTACCTGGAGCCAGCTCTACATCTTCCCACAGGCCACACACCACTGATCACACTGGCATGCAAACAGGCTGAGCAAAACCAGAACAGGAGCTCAGAAATGAGACCAGAGAACAGATCACATTCTGCTTCTCACACACCCACAGAGATGAGCTTGGCTTTCCTGTTCAAGGTACATTTAATTTCCATGTGCACAGGAGGAGCCTGAAGCACCTTCCTCACTCAGTGCTTGTGGTTGAAGCCAGGTCTGTGTGGTCCTTTCCACCAGTGCCTAAATAGCAACATGGAAATGGAGCATACATGACACAGAGGGAGCTCCTCTGGATCAGATCCCACTGACAAAGGAAGTTAAAAGCATTGCAAAAGATAACCAGGGAATTTGGAATTAATTTTTTTTATTACTATAAATAGGTCAGCTCTTCAGCTGGGGGAAGAATCCTCAACATTGAAGTGTCTTGTTACAAACCAACCATCCCTCACTTTTGTGTCTTTGTTTTGAACCACTGTGCAAGGGGATAACCAACTCTATAGCATGGAATGCACTGAGCTTTCCCACTTCAGTAATTCCTGATATCTAGGAGCAATTTTTTGAAAGACTGTTCTGTAACATTTGAATGTGTTTTCCTTGAATGAGGGTATTGCAGAACACAGAGCTGTCAGCTGATGCACTCTTGAGACCTGGGGTGGCTACAAGAAGGACAAAGAAGAACCTGTGGAACCCCTGGGAGCAGCCAAGCTCCAAAACTGCTGCTGGAAGAAAAGCTACTGAGTGGCCTTTGCAGCCACAAGTCATGCCAAGAACCCTCTCTCAGCGCTGCTGAGATCTCTGCTGTGCCCCACAGGAGCCTATACACATCCCACTGAAAGGTGAAGGGTTTGGGATCAGCCATGGCAGGGGAAAGCCACAGTGTCCCTCCCTTCCCACTGTCCCTTCTTGTGCTGGTTCTGGACAGGCCCCGTGCCTGACCTCCCTCCCTGCAGCTACAGCTGCCAAAGCCAGAAACTTCCCATTGTTACAGCTCCACTGGTTTTCTAAAAACAAACTTTCTAGCACTTTTACACAGAGTGAATAACCTCTTCTAAAGGAGTGTTTTGGGGGCTGTAAACAAGGTTTTTAAATTCTAATTAAGTGCCATTAGGAAATGTATGGTTCATCACTAAAATTAGCTTTTGCAAAATGAAGTTCAAATTGAAAGCATCTTTTATAATGAAGTTGTTTATTAAAAGCATTTGGATCTACCCCAGGTGTCTTCATGGAGGGGAGTTTGGTTTTTGGTTGGATTAAGACAGGATAGAATCATAAGGCAGGTCAAAGACACAGTTCCCTACATGAAGCCAGAGAGGTTTTGAAATTTCTGCCAAGCAAAGAATTAGAGCCAAAAGAAAAACCCAGCACCCCACTGGGGAGGCAGCCACAGCTGACACCATTATCCCCTGTCAAGGAGAATAATGTTTGTTAGACAGAAAGTTCTGGTCCCTTGGTTTCACTAGAATTTCCAGCCCATGTGGCAGCATTTCAGAAAAGTTCAGCCCATTCCCCCTCCCAAATAACCCCAACATGCTCTGCTCCCCACAGGCAGGAGAAACAGGACCAAACCTCAGCTTAAGCTACAACTGGCTGCAGGCACCAGCAGCATTTGAAGATGAAACAGGGCAAAGCACACAGGGCCCTCCTGGGATTCTCCTTCAGAACATGGATTAAAAGCTGACAGCCACGATCAGTGTTAGGTGCTTGTCTAAGAATGATCTAGTTTTCAGTTCTAGTTTTCATTCCTAATTCAGCCACCATTAAAACATGACCTTTCCTCAGCAGCTTTCCCCTGGCACTGGGGACTGTGACAGAACATGAATACACTCATCTGCCAAAAATGAGAAATAACTTCAGCATGGATTGTCCTGGTGCTGGAGCTGAAGCTTCCTTTGCCTTTTTAAAGAGAGGAGGGATTTTTCTGATGATTTCTGAGTTTTGATTCAAGTATTTGCCAGCTCTGGTCTCACTCACAGACACTCAGCAGCCCCCAACACTGGACTCTGTAACCTGGGGGAATCACATCCATTGCTCTGCTGGGCAAACCATCTCAGGAAAAGGGAATTCACTTTGCCTCCCTCAGCCAGCACTCCAGCAGAAGCTCACTGATCTCCTGCCACACACCCCCCAGCACAAACACACAAGCTCTGGGAAGCCAATGGAGCTGGAAGCCAGCACTGAGGGCTCAGCTTCTGCAGCAGCAGCACTCCTCAAACTCCCTTGTGAGCTGTCCTGTCCCCTCTGCTGCTCTGAAGCCCTGCCCAGCAGTTCTGCCACTCTGCCCATCAGTGCCACATGCCAAACAACGTGTCCCACACCAGACACGAGGTGCTCAAGTGATCTTACCCAGCAGCAGAAAATCCAAATGCCTCAACTGGTGGCATAATCACAATATATGGCAGCATTCAGGGCATGCCACACTGGGAGAAATTTAGTTTACCAGGAGAAAAATATTACAAAGAAAGCCAGAGTATTCCAAGCTCTGCTTCTGGCTGAAGCCACACGTCACAGACAGGCCAAGTGTTACAAAAAGAAATTCTCCAGAAGTGGCTTAGGAGAACCCAAGAGAGCAGGATGACAGGACAATGGCAGATTTATTTACAATAGGACACAAAGAATACATACATTAATTAAAAATTACAAAGAATACAGAGAAAACACTTCAGGGAAGGGAGAGAAATCAATGCTGGCTGAGCCTCTCCACTGGGGCAGGGGCAGAAGAAAAAAAGAAAAGAAAAAAAATCAACAAAAATCTCAGGGACCTCAAATCAGAACTGACACAGGATTCCACAGCACAGTTGGCTCACACATCCCCTCCTCCTTTTTTCCATCCATGATTCCTGGCTGATTAGATTTGGGCATGACGGGCAGGGCCAATGGGAAGGGACACAGGCCCTTGCATGGACCTGGTGGAAACTTATGGCAATTGGGCTTTAAAAAGGCCCCAAAGCCCTCCCTGGGATCAAGGAGGGCTTTGGACAGCTTTGGGTTGGAATGATGTGACCTGTGGCAGCTGGTCATTCGAAGACCTTACTCCAAGAAGAAAAATTTTCATAGATCTCACTAGAAAAAACCTCTCCTCTGTAGTCCTGGCTGAATCCAGTGAGTCTGGGGATGGAGGGAGCCTTCACTGCAACGTGGAACCTTTTTACTGATAAACATCACTGAAGTGACCAAAACAAAAGAAAACAAACCACAACCCAACTTTAACCTCTTTTAAAAAGAGCTTCCCATGGTCTGATTCAGGCATCAAGCTATGGGAAAAGAAGAGCCCATGTCAGCTATCCAGGAGAGCTCTGTTTTTTGTGGAGAAGAACAAAATACAGCTATGGGGTGTACACTTTTCCTGTTCCCTGGAGGTAGAGAATTTCAGAGGAGGAGCAGAGAGCAGCAAGGGCAGTCAGAGCACAGGGCCAGTGAGAGAGCCCCACTCCCAGCCATGGGACAGCTCACAGGGCCACCTGCCTGTGCCAGCGCCCTCAGCATGGCCTGCACTGCCCTTGGGCAGCTCGGGCCCAACACTGCCTCAGGTCACTTGGCACTAACACCACGGCACCACAGCCATCCCTGCAGGCTCTTCAGGATCCCAGGGGCACTCCCAGGAAGGAGCCTGCCCTGATTCCTCACTCATCCAGAGCAGAGCTATGGACAGAACAATCTCTGGTAGTTACCTCAGGTATCCTTCCAGTCCTCTATTCAGCAAAACCACTTCCACCAGGACCTTCTGCAGGAGAGGCAATCCCACCCTCCCACACGGCCTGTGCTGTCCAAGGCTGGAGGGAGCAGCAGTGCTGAAGGTTGCTCAAGCTCTCTCAGGGTGAAATTGCACTTCCCAGGCTCGGAATGGCACCTCCAGCAAATTGTAAACGAGCCAAAGCCGGGACTTCGGCGATCGGAGCGCGCCGGGCTCCCGCTGGGTGAGCCTTGAGGCTCCGCTTGTTCTGCCATAGTCAAGCTCCCTCTTCTGTGCAGACACGAAGGCAGGAGAAAAACCCAGTCTGATACTTGTCTGAAGAGTCTCCCTGAATCCTAGAGCACCCCAGGGGCTGGAAGAAAACGTTTTCACAAGTGTTTCCACTGCTGTCTCAAATCCGTTCATCATCAACATAAAAAAAAGGATGGATTAGCAAAAAGGGGGTTTACTTATACAGAGGGACATTTCTCTGCTAAAAAACTCCCTCAAATATGGAACAGGATAATAAAGTTAAAATGTAAGGTATCTACAGACCCCTTTTCCCCGCAGAAGTAGCCCAGAATCCATGTACACTGTGCCAAAGTTACATTCCAAATCGAGGAGTTAATTATTTCTCTTGTGACTCTCCCACTGGATTTTTTGTTTCCTTAAAAAGAGCTGGGAGAAGATGTCCCTGTCCCTCCTGGGAGGACACGTGTTCAGAGGTGTCTGATTCCTGCTGGGGGCTCCAGCTTCAGTCGATTTTCACGGCGGCGTAGATCTTCCTCACAAACATGTAGGCTGCGTAGAAGCCAATGGTGCCCGTCAGGAGCCAGAAGGACAGGACCATGAGGGCAGTGTAGCCAAAGTACAGTAAGGAGGGGATGAACTCAACAATATCCAGCTGAAACAGAAGAGGATGAAAAAAGTCAACGAAATAACACACACAGATGACAAACCAACCAGTGCCCTCTGCAAGGAGAGCGCTGGCAAAGGGAGGAAAACTTTTATTTTTGTCCAGCTGAAGGGAGATCCCCTTTGAGGTGGGGTCAGGGAATGCTGCTCTGTGCAAGGCCTGGGGCACCTACACCCTCCTCTCCTGTGTGGAAGGGCTGTGAGCACTGCCTTGGGCTGGCATGGGCACACTGGCACTCAGCAGGCCCACTGTTTCCTTTCCCAAATCCCACAGTCACCCCCAAAAACGTGGCACTTCCACCCAGAGGAATACCTTGTTCACAAAGTAGAAGACAGCATAGATGAGCACGTAGAAGGCAGATCCTCCAGACACCAGGAAGGTTCTCCACCACCAGCGGTAATCCTGACAGGACAAAGAGCCCCATTATCCCCCCAGGACCTTCTTTTCCCCAGGCACTGCCTCAGGGAAGCTGTGACAGGGAGAACACCACCCATCTTCAAAGGAAATCCACAGTTTGGGACTGGTGAACTTTTTCTGTCACAAGTGTGTTTCCAAACCAAGAGCTGTGATGCTGGCAGTCAGGCTCAAAGCACCTGCTGCCCAAGGACATGGCTCACCTTTGGTCCTGCATTTTGTTTTGTATGTGGGGGGAATGGAACAGTTTGGGAACAGCTCAAAACATCCTGTGCCCAGCAAAATTCCTGGTATGGAACCACAGTTCCCAGCCTAACAGATAACCAAGGAGCTTTCATTCCCTTTAGAGTGAAGGGACATTGGGGACAATCACACCTGTGAAGCTGGGCCACACTGATCTTTGCTGAGCAGCAGCAATAATGTGATCTGTGCTTTTCCAGGAGCAGAGCACCCTCTGCTACCCAAATTACAAACACGGAAATCTCACCTCAGCACAGAGCTGGAAATACACCATGACAATGCTGATCTGGGAGCAGGATACCACCAGAATGATAAACACCAGGAAGAGGAAGCCAAAAAGGTAATAGAACTGGTTCTCCCAGATTGCCTGAAATAAACACACAGCAGGAATTGATTTCCATGTTACTGTCATCAATCACTGAACATGGGACTCACTCCTGGCAGCCAGCCAGGGGAAAATGAGGAGCCCCCTCAGCCTTACCTAGATGGAACCACAGATCTAATGCATTTCACAATGTCACTTCAGAGTAAAAGGTGCACAAGGACCTCTGAGATAGCTTGTTCATTCCCCCATATCTCCCAAGCAAATTCTTCCCCATCCATACAAGGTGAAAAATGGGTAGCAGCAGAACAGTGACTGTCTCAAGACCAGGACTCCTCCTTGATGTAATGTTACAGTAAATTTTGTCTTTACCACAAAGTCACCAGGAGAGTCCCATAGCTCTCCCTGGAAACTACTGAATGGCTTGGAAGAGACCAGCTACCCCTTCAGAGAACAGGAATAGGAGACTGATCCAGTGGAAGGCTCCTCCCTTTCAAAAGCTTTGGCATGAAAAGAATCCCATTGAGGAGGAAAGTGGGTTAAATGCTTACACTGAAAATGAAGAACAGCTCAATGAACATGGCTCCAAAAGGCAGAATACCAGCCATGAGGATCCTACAGAGCAGAAACAAAAACCATAAGCAGCACAATATAACTGGACATTAAAAATTCCTTGTAAACACACAGAACACTCCAAGCAAAGGCTCTACATTTCCAGATTACTAAATTTCACAGGCAATGGCACAGCTGCTCCCACTGCTAAGTACCCCTCATACCACATCCAAATTATCAATGTCGTCTCAAGGAACCCAATCTGCCATCTGTCCATGTCCAGAGAGCAGCAGGTGACACTCAGCAAGCCAAGGGGACCAAGGGGAGGGGATTTAACTCACCATATTTCCCAGACACTGATCACTCACCCCACAAATTTGTTCATATACCACCTCTGCTCCGGGATCTGCCTGGGAATCTGATTTGTCCGTACAGGATTGTCATAGGGCTGCTTGCGAAATCCAAAGTAGTAACCCAGGTAGACCAAGGGCAAGGAGATCCCAAACCACATGCACAGCAAGGCCACCATGGTAGGGAAAGGCACCTGGAATCACACCAAGAGCCACAGAAGTAAGGCTGACAGCTCTCCTGCCCTGGGGACGGACGTCATTGGCCAAGCCAACTTGTCACCCACTTGGAAAGGTCTGGGAAGCCAAGTGGGTCCCTGTCAGCCCAGTGACCCTGTCCCACCCAGCAGGCCCCAGGCTGAGGGTGGCACCTACCGCACCAGAGGAGTGTTTCCCCCAGATGAAGCAGTTGAGGACAAAGCAGATGCCAAAGACAACGCCCGGGTACAGCGTCGCTGTCTGCAAGAGGAACCACAGCATAAGAGAAAGCACCTGATTCCTCAGCCAGATGTTCCTATGGAATGAGTCCATGCCTGATACAAGGCACATGTGGAGACGTGTCCCTTTTGTTACAGGACAAGAACACAGAGCTGGGCTGTGGGGAGGATCTTGGACAATTCTCTTTGCTCTGGTGGTGCCTTTTCTGTACAGCTACAAGGGCTCAACCCACAGCAAATGTGCAGCACAGCCAGACTGTGTCCAGCTATCACAGACATGTGGAGCTTATCCACAGATTTTGCCATCAGCAAACCAGGATAAACAGCACAGAACATCCAAGACTCACACAAAAGGCTCCCTTCTTCCATCTATGGCCTTTCAGAGTCCGGTATAAGCGGCCAGCAAAGAATCCACCAAAAACCCTGCACAGAAACAAGCCAAATCAATGAAAATGAGCTGCTGCAGCTGGGGGGAGGCAGGACAGCACAGAGGAAAGCTGTGGAGGCACCTACCCCATGAACATGAAGAGGAAGCAGGCAGTTGTCATCAGCGCGCCCCGGCTCGAAGGCGACAGCATCCCCAGCATAGCAACAACTGCAGAGGGAAACAGGACAAGGAACAGCAGCTCTGAGGGACATGTGCTGCAGCAGCTCAAGGACAGGGGCCTGTCCCATGTGCAGCCCACGGCTGCCTGCAGTCCCTGCACAGCCTGATCTCCTTCACAGCATAATGTATCCAGAGCCTCCAGCACTGGCCAGAGAGGAAGGCACAGCTTTGATTTCAGCTTCCCCAGGGATGGGAGCAGGTGCAGCTCAGCAGGCAAGGCACACCTGTCCAGAAGTCCCCCAGCCCACTATCAGCCAGGGCTCACAGCTTAGCAAAGGAAATAAAATCACACAAAGTTGCCTTCAGCTGGGCAATGTCATCCAGCAGTTCAGTATCTGCCCAGGCTGATGGCAACAGGAAGCAGCTTCATGGGCCTCATTCCAGCTAAAGTGAGCAC